ATAAGCTGTTGTACTGTGGAGCGGTCTAGCAAACAAAGGTCAAAATCAAATGTCTGTGTGGTTACTTCATATCGTCCAGTCTCAGCAATTAAATTAACTACACGTTCTAAGTCATCATTATTTTTAATTTTCATGATGCGTTGTTGCAAATCTCGTAATTGAACCATGTAATCGGGAGACAGTTCTCCAGGCTCCGCATCTTCGCCTAGACTACTTGACACTCCATTATCTTGGACTTTGGTCTCAGCAGAAGTTGATCCACTGCTCTCGCCCCGCTCAGTGTCATTGAATGGTGGCGCTGTTTCTGTTTTAATAATTTTCCTGTGTTCTATACTTTCCAAGTTTTCTCTTTCTTCAGCTTCAGCTGCTTTCCTTTTACGTCGTTTCTCTTCTCGTTTTGCAGATTTATCTTTATGTTTCTGTTTTTTTTCCTTGTGTGGAGGTGGAGGTTCCACCACTGGTTCTGGTTCAGGTTCTAGTTCAGGTTCTGGATCCAGTTCTGGTTCTGGTTCAGGAGATGGATCATGTTTAATGGGTTCTGGTGACAGCATTTCAATTTTCACTTTAGAGTCTTCTTCATCTGCTATAACAGAGCTCTCAGAATCTGAATGGCTACTGTTCACATCTTCATTACCAATATGAGATGATTTAGCCAAACCACTTTTGGAACTACATTGAGATGCTGTGTCTATAGATATGGGAGATGCTGGTTCAGGAAGAGGACGTTCTTTAGGAATGGGAGTTTCTCTTCGCTCAATTGCTTCCATTTTTTCTGGAGGCATTTCTCTATTTTTATCATGCTTGTGTTTCTTTTCTTTATTTGATTCTTTGTGTTTTTCTCTAGACTCATCACGCCTTTTATCTTTCTTTTTATGTTTGTGCTTTCTTTCTGGGTCTGATTTTTCTTTTGATTTATGATTTTCTGGACGATCATCATCAGGTGTTTTTATGAGATTTTCTAATGAAAACTTATTTAAAGGTTTTTCAGGTTTAATAGGTTTATCTTTAATTGTTGGAGAATCTTTTATTGTTTCCTTTTCTTTAGGAACTTCTCTTAACTTGGGCACCTCTTTAGGAATTTCTTTAGGTGGCTCTTTTGGTGACTCTTTAAGCTTATGGCTTTCTTTTTTATGTTCTTTTTTATCCTTTCTCTCTTTGTCCCGGTCATGACTTTTCTTCTCTTTTTTCTTCTTTTCTTTTGATTCCTTTTCTATTTTACCATCAAGACTTTTGTCCTCTAATTTGGGTTTCTTTTGGTCCAACATGTCAATATTGTGTTTTGCAGGTTTGTAGTCATCTTTAATACTAGAAGCACTACTGGACCTTGGAGGACTAGGCACTCTTCTTATGGGGCTTAAACAACGTTTTTTAGCTACATCTGGAGATGCAGTTCTTTCTATAGGCCTTTTGTTTGATTTATCTTTTGGTTTGTCTCCTTCTTTGTTATGATTTTTAATCTTTTCTTGCCTGCCTTTATCTTTTTCTTCCTTAAGTTTGACTTTATCTGACTTCATTTCCTTGTGCTCATGTTTTTGCTTTTTATCAGAACTTGACCTTTCTTTGTCTTTTTTATCAGATTTCATTGGTGGGGCAATCTTTTCAATCTTTTTGGGATCTGGTGATACTTTAGGTGGTTTCTGTATTGGAGGTCCAAATAAGTTTTCAAAACTGTTATTACTAGTTTTATGTGGCATTTCCTCTTTGTGTTCCTTAGACTTGTGCTTTTTATTACTATCAGATGTCAATTTTGGCTTGCTAACAAGCTGCTGCTTCTCTTCAGTGAAGGAATCTCTACTTCTACTTTCTTGGTCAGGATTAGTATAAAATGCATTATTGCTTATGGGTATACCACCTCCTTTTAAAAGCTTTTTCCTGAATTCTTCATTGGGGTTTTGGAAAATGTAGCGATCTTTGAGAGAACCACTTTGTTGTAAAGTAAAATCGTAAGAAAACTTTATTTTCTTAGGTTCATCTTTGTTTTTGAGGTAAATTTCAATGGGAAAAATGAACCCTGCATAGCCAGATTCTTTTATTGAAAAAGGTGGTTCTTTCACAACTGCAAATAAAAAGTATATAGTCAGAATAATTAATCAAAACACAAAAGGAACAGTAAACTCTAAAGAAACTAGTTTTTCTTTGGCTATTTAAATAATTTGTTTACTTGTTTAAATTATATAAACAACTGAGCTTCATAGAAACTTATAACATAAACAGAATGTGTTACTAGCTAAAACCTTAATATATAAAAAGAAAAATACCTCTTCGAGGCTTTTTGAAAGTTTCATGTAAAAGAAAAACCACTTTATCTACAAAGTGACTTATATCTGCTCCTTCCAGGCCGCGCACAAACACTTCCCAATCATGAGTAAAGCCTTCTGGAGTCTTCTTCGATCGTAAAGATGCTTCATGTCCGATTTCGAAATTTACTTTGATTGCTGACATTCTGAATCTGAAATATGTGAATATTAATTTGTAATGGATTTCTAAATGCAGGGTATTACGCTAGAAAAATAACAAAAGGTATAAAATACACTTGTTATCTAATTTACTTACTTTCATATGATATTTTAAACACAATATAGATTTCAAACATAACAAGTGGAAAACAACGTATTAACCAGTGACTGATTTAATAGAAATCACAAATATCCACAATAATCTTTTAGCGCCCTTGTTATTTTGGTCCGCCATATTATTCTCTTTCAAACATAGACTAGCTAGACGAGGTCGCGATAAATGAGTACCATAGAGAACGAGGTGACGAGGTGTTACTATCTTTTCCAAACAATAATTATCTGCTACTTTGGTACCTATACCTATACTACTTGTACGTCGCTGGAGTCGATGTCAGTCTCAATATTAAAGGTGGAAACCGAGGTATTCTGTTGCGACGTAACAAATCAGGCACAGTCATATATTTCGAGGTCCATTTAAAGGTAAGTACAACAGACGTATAAACTAGTTAGCAGACGAAGCACATGACACTGTATACTATGACAAAATTGCTTACAGAACCTTACTAAGGTCAATAGTGGAATAAATTAGACTATAAAAATGTACTTTCCTTTTATTATTTAAAAGCCGGAAATATAAAAAATATGTGTAGATTAATTTTATTTAATTAATACCCAGTAGCCACGTTTATCTTCACCGTATGTCTGGTATCTACTTAAAAAGCAGATAAAATCAGTCAGTGGGTACCCAAAAATCTTCGCTAAACATGGGTTAGGTGTGAAACATTTGTGATTTTGAAATTGAAACACATTATCAACAATTAAATATTAAAAAGACCCCTTATTAAAACGGGTATTTCTATAATTTAGATGAGTTTTTAATTACTACGCAGTGCAATTCTTCACTTCTTAAGAAACTAAAATATGTGAAAGAAGAAAGAAAGAAGGAAAAAATTATTTGTTAGAATGTAGTACAATAGGTGTTTGTGTTAGGTGTATGGAATGATGGAATCTCACACTTTCTACCGAATTGGTGGCACTACTTATTCTCAATCTATAATAAAGATCGTAGTATCTGCATCTGGATGCGGTGCCGACGATGGCTTTTTTTTGTGAGGAGAAAATCATCAAATGACTTCTCGCATGGGCGGGAGGGAGTGTCACTCTTACTGACTAAAACCCCCCCTGTTCCTTCTCCTGCTCTGAGCCGAGGTCGCGGTGCCTTATTGCGATTACCCCGCAACCCCGGTTGAACACCAGCCCTATAGGGCGCCGTCTGTGGTGGTCTATTGGCTTTTTGAGGCGCGCGCGGACCGCTACGCGCTGCACGCTCGGGCCTGGTTCTGGTCGGGCGGCGAGCTACCCTTACTCGCCGACCGCAGACCCGCGCTTACGGTGGCCGGAGATCGTCCCTTGATCCCCGACGCCCGTAGTTTCGCCTTTTGCGGCGGCTGGGGCGAGAGGAGAAGGATTGCTCCCTCACGCGGTCCGCCTCCCTCTTTGCGAGCATAACTGCTTCACAGAAGGAGGAGACGGCGTCCCAGTTCCTCTCGCTCCGCACCATGGCCTCGACTAAGGCGCGAGAGGTCGCCGCCGCCGATCACTTTCATGAGGACACGGCGGTGCTCAGCCCAGGCAGGGCATACCGCCACCGTATCCTCTAGGTGGTCCTCACAATGACGACGCTCGGGCGTATCCTCCCGCTGGATCCGAAACAGGAACCTACCGAAGCTGCCGTGCCCGGTCAACACCTGCGTTAGGCGGAAGGTGAGGACGCCGTGGCGTCTCTCAAGCCACTCCTCAAAGAGGACTCCTCTTTTCGCTGCTAAAGTAGCGTGCCAGGTCCGACGATCGAGCGTGTCCTTAGTGAATATGCAGCTCTTACTGTCGTCACCATTATGTGTTTTTATTTATGTTAACTGTTTACTTATTTAATTTGGATTATTGTTTTTTTGTTTACCTGAAGCTGTGCTTTTGTTTAAAAAGTTTCCTGCCCGGATACTAATATTCTCCCAGAGGCAATGGGATGAGCCGCTTTGAAGAACAGTAGGTAAGCTTAAAATTGCTGGACTTTTGTAGTTCTTTTGATGAGTGAGCACCCCTTTTAGTTGATAATATTTTGCTTCTTGCGTTGCCCTTAAGTTAGGCAGTTTCTTTGGAGGACCGCATTATCAGTGAGCCGGCTTTCTGCCTTGCCCGACATGCAACTATAAATGAATTTATCCGTCTGGCTCTTGTTTCCGTCGGCATGCCAGCAACTTTAACATTTTTAGCTTAGTACGTGACGATAGCAAGGGACCAGGACGTAATATTATTATATTCTTGGAAGCTGGTAGGTTTAGAATGGGAAGGACGAACGGAACAACGTAGTGGTTACATACTCTTTGGAACGGAACAACACTTTGTGTGATCCATAAATAAAATTTTTGTTTCGGGTCAATTCGGGTCTGGGTAGTTGGCTGGTGTATTTGAATTTGTATGTTTGTAAACACAAAAGAAAATCATAGACTGGAACGTTTTTTTTTTTAAAGAAGAACTGTAGTTGTTTAAAAATGTCACTTGACTAAGTCAAGTTGACTTTGACATGATTTCTAGAATAAAGAAATATTTTAGTTTTAGATCCTAACCTGAATGTTCTAATTTAAGTTCAGAATTTGGAATAATACTAACTACGACTTATTTTACAATCATGTCAGGAATAATGTCTGCGATTTTTCAGCCACTGAAGTAAGTGTTTAGAAAATACGTTTATATACAACTACTTAGTTGACTTGGGTGATAATAATGTTATTATGATTTTAACAAAGTGATTGAATTTACAGGCTTGTTAGGCAAAATTTGTTTCAAATGGCGTCGACAGTTGCTCCCTGCACAACAAGTCTAGCTAAGCCAGATTGTTTCTCGGTATCTTCTATTAGAACTAAAGTGCGATGCTACTTCCCTCGACCGAACGAAGTCCGGAGGGTGAATCGACATGGCTGGAAAACGAGAATGTCAACCCCCAATGGTCGCAGGGTCATTATGCGGAGACTGCTCAAAGGAAGATTTGTATTAACCCATTAATTACTTATCAAAATACCAGAAGTCTTAGTTACTGAGATAAGTTCACTGTTTATATGGGTGATGTTATGTAGTGTAAATAATGAATAAATAAATAAATTTAAATCACATTTTTATTTAAAACGGCCTGATTTTTATAACAGAGCTTTCTTTCTAACAAGCTATACATTTCACTTATTTACTACTTTACAAAAAGTAACAAAATCAGTATAAAGGTGTTGTGCAGACTTATCTTCAAATAATTATTGTATACCAAATCAGTTCATCTACAACTCTAGCTATGCTATCTTTAAAGGGTAGATCATACTGAAATAAGTTCTACTGTGGGGATATAACATACTAAAAAGATTATTAAAATGAATATACTGTGTGTAATGAAACCAATATATTGCTTTTATTTATTACTGTTTCAAAAATCCTCACAGAAACAATGCTTGATAAATTACACTTACAATATTATTTAATAAATAGTTACCATCGACTAGTTGAACAAATATTTTTGAGAAGGAATGGAGTCATCAGAAGTTGGAGATTTTGCTGGTTTTAACAAGTTGGACACTTCTGACACAACCAAAGTTGTGAGTTTTATAATAGCCAAATGTGCAGCCAACTGTAATACTAGTGCACCAAAGCCTTTGTACAGGCCTGAGACTCCTTCCTTGGCTATGGTAGAGTTGTAGCAATCCATGAAGCCTTCATAACCTGTCAGTATGGGTATAACTGATGTGCCAGTGTCCAAGTTATCAACTATTGTTCTGGTGCCCTGCAAGGAAAACAATTCTTGAAATAATGTTCAAAGAATTTTTTATGCACAGACTTTGATTGTAATTATTTTAACAGTTTGATTGATGTATATTGATTTAGTATTTTGATAAGATTTTACCTGTATGTGGAGTCTGTGGATAATAGTTTCAACTGGGTAGAATATAATTTCCATTGCAATGAAAGATATGATGTTAGCCTTCAGACTGATATCCTCAATCAAAGGGTTTGAGGATTTATTGTAGTTCACATTATATGAGTCACTAAGTTCATGTCTGTGTCTTTGTTGGAAACGGAGAACTTTTTCAGTTATCTTTTTAAATGTTATGCTGAAAAATTTTTTATTTATAAGCTTTAAGTTACAATGATGAAATTATTTATACATTGATTTGAGAGAGTTAAGTGGCAGAATCATCACATACTCATTATCTCTCAAACAGTGCTAAAGGTAGTATTGGATAAATTTTACTTACTGAGCAATATACTTGGTAATACCAAGAGAAACAGTTGGGAACACAATAGCCCATATTGGCAGCATTCTACCTCGACTGGGAGTTCCCCATTCTAAAATACGCATGAAACCTTCCCTGAACACATCCAGTATTGCTGGTTTGTCACTTGCAATGTCACTCTGCACTGTTTCAACCAAGCTTGCGGAGTAGAAAGGTGTAATGACTGCTAAACTTACACTGAAAATAAATTATAGGTCAGATAAAAGTAGAGAATTTTTCTCTTTGATAAATACAATAATATAGTAATAGTAATAATAAGTAACTTTTACACTTACCATTTTAATGTTATGTGTTGTAGGAACTGTAAGATAGAATCACATTTTCCCAGATCTCTAAAAAGAGTTAATTTTTGTTAATCATGATTATAATAAAGTTAACATTTAATCTTGAAAATATGAACTTGCTTACTTAGGCCATCCAGTGCCCTTAGAGACCACATCCTCCACAGCCAAGTTTAATCCTTTTACTATACAAGTGGAGCCAATGCCTTTCCAGAGAGTTGTGACATCTTGTCTCCGATGTAACCGAGCTACTACTGGCAGTAAAGTGTAAGGTACTATGTGATAGTTCTTCAGACCATTGTGAACCTGTAATTATGTGAACATTTTCACTAATTGGTAATGATGATTCTAGTAAAATTTATGGTGCAAGTAATGTTTATGATGCAATCATGAGTTAAGATTGATTAGTAACTGTGCAAAATCTTTGCCAAAGATATAGTTTATAAAATAGAATTACTTTGATCTCAAAAGAGAAAGGGAGGAAAATAATCTAAGTAGCACTCACTTTATCAGTTTTATTATGATGAGAAAAATGATTAAGAAAGTATGTGTTGCTACATTTAACAAATTACAATAAGGGATAACAAACAAACCTGGCACTGTCTCCTCAACACAATAAATGGATGACTTAATAGATTCTCTGTGATAAGACTAGCAACACTTATAGCTGTAGTGATATAGGCATTGTTATCTGAAACAAATTAAATACACCAAATCTTGTCTGTGATGTAATTGATTCATATTGTTATATTATTACTATTTATTTGTCACAATTCCAACCAACTCAGAATATATTTGCATTGCTTTTAGTCTTGGTACCGTGTTATTTTATTGTAGCCCCAGTGTTTGTTTACTGCTACTGTAAGATAATTATTGACAGTACAGACTGACATTTTTTTCTGGCTGAGTTCCCACTTTGTATAATTTTATTGTAAACACTAAGGAATGTTTAAGATGTTTAGATCACGTAAAATTTTCTTTTAATTTCAACGAGAAGATTATTGTTTATTGAGCTACTTTTAATATAAAGTTCAGTTATGCTGTGTAAACAACATACCTTCTTCAGAAACATCATCCATTACCAACGGCGGGCCCTGAAACTCTTCGGTAACAGGAGTATGGTACCCATATATCTGCTGATAACGAGTGTCGTACAAATCACTGGTTTCCCTGTTAGGATCCAACCCATAAGGCCTGTTGTAGCCTGAAAAATCACCAAAACCAGCCATTCTTGTCTTTTCAAATCATTCTTTTAAAAGGAAATATTTTATTCTTTCTGTAAAATAAAATATAAAAAAATCAAGGAATTGTGCCGATTTCCACTGATTTTAGTTACATATTCATACTGCTGCATGTATTTAACCATATACTAACCAATGATGCTAATGGAAAGGGGTTAAATATAACCAAATGATAGATTTAAGCCAATCAGATTTATTTTCTAACACATAGTCTTCGTATAACAGAACATACTCATAGTCAAATGTCAAAAGGCGCCATAGACAACGCCAATTATTGTTGTACTATTGTTAGTCGATTTTAGAGATGAGACTTTGAAGTTAAATTATCCGATATCCGAGGCAGCAAGCAAAATAAATATCCGCATTATCGTAGGGATGGCGATCTGAGATCGATTAATCGAAGAATCGATTTATCGAGCAGAAAATATCGATGTTTTAAATCGATATGAAGTACTGTGTCGATTCACTGAATCGATATATCACCCTTGAAAATCGACATTCGATTTTTTCTGTTTTGGTATAAATAAACCATACAATTATTTGCATTTAGTTGAATGTGCCTGAATTATAAGAGTGCTACCGGTTGAAGAGTTAACTACTCATAAACTCGCGAGATGGCTATATAAATACTTTTTTTATAGTTGATCTTATAGTTTGATACGGTAATAAAAATAATTGCTATTTTTGAATTCCCTGATTTTGTTGATAAGATATCGTTAATTGCAATATTACCTAATCTTGTTTTTAGTAAAATTGATTCAAATTTACATCATAAACGCAAACTTGAAAAAAAGATCGATTTTTTAAGAATCGATTTTATAGGCCTTGATTTTCTCGTGAATCGATTCATTAGACTACGATTCGAATCGATTTAAAAATCGATCTTTTTCGTAAAGAATCGCCATCCCTACATTATCGCAGTCTTTCTTTGCTGATCTTTGACAAGTTATGCTGTCAGTTCGTGACATGAATGATTTGACAGGTGTACGCAAACGCAAAGCAGACCAAAACAGCCAAGACGCATGATCAAAAAGATTTTGTACGGCTAACCCGACGAGTGAATATCGATTATAAAATAAGACAAAAGTCCTGTAACAAAATGAGTCGTACGGTTTTAAATGGGATTTAATTGAATTAAAAATACATAATGCTTTTTAAGGCTGTGCTGTGTTTATCGAGTTTACACTTTTTCAGTAATTATTTTAAGATTTTATATCAATTGATGGTGATGAACTATGGCATTTATTAATGTGGTGCTAGTGGTCTGGATGTATTGTGTGATGTTAATTGCAGGTGTAGCGGCTCAGGAGCAATGTACAGATTTGCGCGGTCGGTTGATTTCCCACGGACTTCATTATGTGCCTGGCCCAGATACTTGTACTCTTTGCGTTTGTGACAATGGGCTGCCGAAAGTGTGTAAGGCGGTTCTATGTTCACCTCCCCAGGTGAGGCAATAAAGTTTATATTATTTCAAGGTGTCAATAAAAATCATGATTTCGTATTTTTCACTTGCAAATTAAAAACACACGACACTTTTTAGTCTTTTTAATTGTTTGTAGTCTTTTTAATATTTTATCCTATACATTTATCCTATACATTCATGTAATATATGCAATATAAACTATATACTTACATAAAATATATACACTTACATATTTAAATTTAATATAAATACTTACTATTTCAAGTTTAGCATCTAATAATAAAAACTCATTCATCAATAAATCATGTACCAAAGAAACAGGACTTTTAACAAATTATATCAAAAATACCTTAACATTGCATTACAAAACACATTACTAAAAATACCTCAGTATAAAATATTATAAAAATATCTTAATATTGTAACAAGACATTTATACAAAAAAATGTTAAAATATACCATAATTTTGTTACAACACATTTATACAAAAAATATTAAATTATACCTCATCATTGTTAGAAGACACTAATACAAAAAAAAAAAAGAATTTCGCAAATCGGTCCAGGCGTCTTCGAGTAATCGGTGTACATACATAAAAAAAAATACTCGTCGAATTGAGAACCTCCTCCTTTTTTGAAGTCTGTTAAAAATATTAAAATATACCTTAATATTGTAACAAGCCATTTAACAAAACATTAAAAAATACCTTCATATTGGTATGTAATAGGTAAAATATTAATAATATTACATACATAACGTATAATTGCAGTAGCTTTATCAAACAAAGGGTGATTGATACTGATTGGAATTTCTGCCTTTTGTTTTATAGTTGATTGCACTTTGTATATAAATTATTAAATATTATATTCCAGGTATAAAGAGAGTTTATAGGACTAATCTTATTATTAAAAAAATGTGAAAATACTGTTTCATTGTTTATCCAATAGAATAGTTGTGAGAAAATTTAACAAATTAAAATTATGTTGTACTATGAAGCTCCTTTATTTTTATAAAGACTCACAATTTATACTTGTTCTTCTATCTTTTATAAAGAATTATGAGTCTGTTATTATTAAATGAAAGGCAGTAATACTAAAAACATATTTTTTATAGGATTGCCGATCTTTCCGCTTGGGGAACACATGTTGTGAGTTCATTTGTTTGGACGATGTAGTGAAGCCCGCGGAAGGGGCGGAAGCTAATGTTCGAATGGCGGCTGGAGGCGCAGCCGCCGTGGTCCTCCTGACAGTCGCCTTGGTCGTGTACCGCGTCAGGAAGCAGAAGCGACGCCGCCCACCGCATGCCGATGATCAGAGGAGCTTAACGAGCATTGGGTATGGATATTATAATCTTTTTTGTTTTTATATCATTTAATTATCAAATGAATATTAATTTGTAAAAAGTGTGATTTTGTTTTTCGAAAATTCGTAATAGTTGTAGAATTTTGCCCCATTGGTAGGAATGACGTTGCTCCTTAGTGCTACGCGACTCATAACATAATTGGGGCCGGTGTTACATATTACGAGAGGTTATTATTACAAAAAAAACAATGTTTAGCAAGAACAGCCCTATTTCAAAACGCGAGGGATACGGGTTCAAACCCATTTAAGTTGCAATTGCACTTCACAATTAAAAATCTAATCAGACACACCAACAATTGTGACCTGTTTGATTGGGTGTGAATAGAGTAAAATTAAGGGATGTGTGATATCTTTATATCTATATATAATTCTGGTGTATGCTTGCATGTAATTGAACTCCTCCTAAACGGCTTGATCGATTTAAATGAATATTTCTATATGCGTTTGAGTGGCTCCCTGTCGTCTACATTTGTAGATGTGAAATAAAGTAGTGCATCAAAGCTACGCTAAGGCGGTACGAAGTTCCCCGGGTCAGCTAGTTTATTATATTTTTAAACGGCCGCTATTAATGTTAGTACATAAATACAGACGACTATTTTAATACAAATACTTCAAGACGTCGTCACGTTACAGGGGGTCTCCAACATAGAATAGACTGAGTAACTGAATAATGAAATACTAAAGTAGGCACCTAAAGTACGTAATCTGTCCTACCAGAGTCAGTAAAATACACATCCTCAGTCTTTCTAATTGCTAAGTAAAGTCACTCAACGGACCGCGTCTGTATGTTCGCGATACACTCATAAACTACTAAACAGATTTGTATCCAGTCTTTATCAATGAATAGGCTGTTTGTTTACGTTAATTATTGACGAATCGTAGGGAACTTAAGACAGTAAGATTGTAATCATATTTGTTACTTAGCACGTTTACAATTATATAGGTAGATAGGTATTATTACTACTTATATGCATATGAAAAACAGATCACAAAATGATATAAACTCTGTTTAGTTGCTTTGCAGCGGATATCGCAGATTAGGTAGTTGTGTAACATATTACTTGACGACCTTGTAGTCTGTATGTAATTAATATGTACTGCAAGTTGCCCGGTACCGTTGCCATACAACTTAATCGTCGCAATTAGTAGAAATGATGAACTGGCATGACTCATGATTCATGGTGTGGTTGAAATGTTTTTTGCTGTCAGTACAAACAAAAAACATTAAATTTTTTGTTATGATTGGTTTTTGGCTTTCGGTCTTTTTTATAGGAGCATTAATTCACTTCTGTCGAGCGGTTTCATACGCTGCTCGGCTCCTACAAATCAAATCAAAGTTAGAAGTTTTATTAGAGTCGACTTTAAAATTTAGATATGTCATTGTATCAATTGTTCCTCTGTTAAGACTTAGTGTGTTTGGTATTAATCTACTTATATCTCCGAATTCCGTCGGTGCGTTTTGATCAGACGAATGAGAATTATTCAAGCCTTGAATCAATACTTCAGAATGGCCCTCAATTATTTGTGTACATATTGACTTCACTAGTTATCAGGTTAGGCGGTTAACTTAACCAAACATGTATATGACAACTTCGATTGTCGTTTCGTTAGATAGACTACAGTTGTTGTGTCACGCCAGGCCCGTTTATGGTAGGTACCCAGACACACAATACAATTTAACTACCTAACTATTGTAATACAACATGAATAAACGTTGGTATAATAATTATAAGAAGAGTGTCAAATAAAATCGAAGTACTTAAATAAAAATTTGTCAACTGATTTAACTTTATAATATACAAGTGCTCACATTCCGAAATACCTTGTTGTAGTATGCCTATACCGCTCAAGTTTACATCATTTTCAATAAATGGACATAGTCTGTCTAATATTGCTCGGTAGGTACATATGTATGTGGTACATGGCAAAATATAAGATTATACTAGACATAAAACCTATCTTGTAGCAAAATACAACCCTGTTGTTATATTAATATTATAACCAATATATTTCGGTATATATACCCCAGCACCAATTTCTCCCTCTGGACCGCCGTTCTAATCGTTGGACTCTTTAGCACTGCGTATGCAGCCTAGCTGTGCGTCATATACCTCTTAGACCACACGGAGTGTTCCGAGAAATTGTTCGGTTTGATCTGTGCTGCATCTTTCGCTAAGGAATCAGGCGACATCACTTTTATTCCCATTATATATATAGATGGTTGGCAGTCAACAATTTTATTGTTTACGAAACCTTCTGTCTCGCACAGCAAAATTTTTTAATAAACTTTCGGCACCGGTATTTCCCTTCCAATACGACCTACGCCTTCAAGAAATATTCGCTTACCATAAAAAAACCTTCTTTCTTTTCGTATCGCTAGTACCTTCAGGTCGGTCCAATGTATTTCACGGAAGGAAAAGAAAATAAAAACGAGGAAGTAAACAATTCTGTTACAAACGTTGGTTACGTAGTAATATGTGACGTTGGTTTCTTTACCAAAATCCCTTATTGTATTTTGTTGTCCTCTGCTTTTCTATGCATCCATTTTGTGTAAATGTGCGAAAATAAAATGTATTTTTTTAGGTACATAAGCGGCAGTATGGGCTACATGGGAGGTACGTGTGAGACGGCACTGGCAGCGTGGAAGCCGCCCAGTAACTACCTGCCTAGAGGGGAGGCGCCGCCGCCTTACGACGAAGCTATTGCGCAGTGTCGCCCCGAAAGCATGAGGTGTGTACAAAGAAATATGTTTTTTGATGTTATTTTATACACTATAACAACTGTTTCAATTCCCGCACGAAACAATTCTTTGTGTGATTTACAAATTGTTGTTCGGGGTCTGGGTGTCATGTGTATGTGCAAAAATCTGCAAAATGCATATGTTTGGACATTTTTAATGATGTGTATGTTTGGAAGCGCACGCACCACAAAATACAAAATCCTACTACAGGGATTTATTCTTTTTAAAAAAGAATAAATCCCTGTAAAATCCCTGTTCTTTTAAAAAAGAATAAATATGTTATTGGAAGGTGTTAATTCAAATTGTTGTCTGGATATCCGTTTTAAAAGGTGCTACAGTTGCTGAGTAAGTATCGGGCCAAGATAAAGACAACGTTGTATCTAGCTATTTAAATGCTCTTGAAAGAATGAAACCATCCAGATAAATATGTATTGGACAGCTAATGATCTGACAAGCTCGTGTTGGCTTGTTTGCAGAGTGTCAAACGAGACGTCGTACCACCGCACGTACCCGGCGACCGTGGAGACGATGTCGCGGCCGGACGACGTCACGTGCGCCGGCCACGGCTACGTCAACGTACCGCGACCCGTCACACAGGTCACATATTATGTATGACTTTATTTACCTACACCTAGATACACGTAGCTACTGCCCTACCCCTACGGGACAAAGGCGTGAGTCTTGCATGTATGTATGTACGTAGATACTATTGTCTTTTAGTCTTATCGTCTGAGGTAAACTAACTCTTTTTGCATGTTAGCGAGACCACACTAGATGAAACAGCGCTTCCATAAGTTCTGTATTAATATTAAATAGTCAAAAACACAGGATTACAAAATATTTATAACTGTTTTTGGTATTTTTAAGTTACCATCTTGTCATTTAGGACAGGTACATATCTGTTTGTTTATTTTGGCACAACAGTGCT